ACCCAACACAACACAACCCAATAGAACTCAACTCAACACAACACAATGGAACTCAACACACTCAACCCAACTCAGTGCAACCCAACCCAACACAACCCAATAGAACTCAACACAACACAACATAATGCAATGGAACTCAACACACTCAACCCAACTCAGTGCAACCCAACCCAACACAACCCAATAGAACTCAACTCAACTCAATACAACACAATGAAATTCAACACACTCAACCCAACTCAACCCCTTCCAACACAACATGACACAATATAACATAATCCAACAGAACTCCACCCAACAAAACAACAAAATGGAATCCAATGCACTTAACCCAACTTGGTGCAACCCAACAGAACACAACCCAATAGAACTCAACTCAACCCAATACAACACAATGGAGCTCAACACACACAACCCAACTCAACCCATTCCAACACAACACAACTCAATGTAACACAGTCCAACAGAACTCAACACAACACAACACAATGGAACCTAAAACACTCAACCCAACTCAGTGCAACACAACATAATGGAACTCAACACACTCAACCCAGCTGAAGTCATTCCAACACAACACAACTCAACATAACATAATCCAACAGAACTCAACCTAACACAGCAGAACACAATGGAACCCGACACACTCTACCCAACTCAACATAACCCATTAGAACTCAACACAACACAACACATCCAAACCAGCTCACCTGCTACACTGTCCTATCTTCTTAAATTTTTTTTAAAAATTTATATTTTTGTTTTCTTTTTAGAGACAGGGTCTCATTCTGTCACCCAGGCTGGAGTGCAGTGGAATGATTATAGCTCACCGCAGCCTCAAGCTCCTAGGCTAAAGTGATTCTCCCACTTCAGCCTCCCAAAGTGCTGGAATTATAGGCATGAGCCACCATGCTTGGCCCCATTTTATCTTTTGGGTATTTTTGTTTATTTTTTAAAGAGAATGAGTCTCTCTCTGTCACCCAGCCTGGAGTGCTACAGTGGTGTGATCATGGCTCACTGTAGCCTTAACTTTGTGGCTTAAGGGATCCTCAGCTTCCTGAGTAGCAGGGACCACAGGCACAACTGCCATGCCTGGACTAAGTTTTTTATTTTTTTGTAGAGATGAGGTCTTGCCACGTTGCCCACGATGGTCTCAAACTCTTGGCCTCAAGTAATCCCTCACGTCAGCCTCCCATAGTGTTGGGATTACAGGCGTGAGCCACTGTGCCCAAATCCTGTTTTGTCTTCTTTATAGGATTTTTGACTGGCTTAAGTTATTTTATTTGTTTGTCCCCTCTCACTAGACTGTGATTTCCCTGAGATCAAGCACTGATTGTTCATCACTGTATTCCCTCCAGTTAGAGAAGGCCAAACACAAAGCATCGAGGCTACAAAATAAATATCCGTGGATCAATCAACCTTTGTTCAGAGAGCTGTGTCTCCCTTACCTGCAGGAACTCACAGCAAAGAAAGGATCAGAAAGAAAGAAAAGACCCATGAGTAGCCAAAATACAGGTGACAAAACTCACACACTAAAGTTTAAGTTTCAACTTAGCACAAAATAAATGTCATTCCCAGTCTGCTTTTCCAACCCAAAGCATGTTGGACATAGCAAATAGAGGGTTGTCATATAGCAGTTTTTCTCTCTCCGGTGGGATAGAGAAACCAACAGCTTGAGAACAAAGAGAAATCTTTTTTTAAAATCAGCACAGCACCATGCTGCTCAGTGGGCTGGGCCCTTCAATGTTAGAACGAGATTCCTCCCATCCTGCAATCCTCAGCAGGCCCCAGGTACTCTGTTGCATTAATTCACTAAAGAATCTTCAGGCCGGGCACGGTGGCTCACACCTGTAATCCCAGCACTTTGGGAGGCTGAAACAGGTGGATCAGGAGGTCAAGAGTTCAAGA